GTTAATCTCACCCACCAGGTTAATCTCACTCACCAGGTTAATCTCACTCACCAGGTTAATCTCATTCAATAGGTTAATCTCACCCACCAGGTTAATCTCACTCACCAGGTTAATCTCACCCACCAGGTTAATCTCACTTGCCAGGTTAATCTCACTCGCGGAGTTAATCTCACTCACCAGGTTAATCTCCCTCACCAAAGTTAATCTCACTCATCAGGTTAATCTCACTTGCCAGGTTAATCTCATTCAATAGGTTAATCTCACCCACCAGGTTAATCTCACCCACCAAGTTAATCTCGCTTACTAGGTTAATCATTTATAATCAATCTCGCTCACTTATACAAAAGTGACCATTCGTCGATCTCTTTATATACATTCGATCAAAGCTTGTTCCCTCAACGCGATAGGTATACTCATGGTAAGTTCCAACGTATATCAATTTCTGTTATTTTGACCGATCGAGGAAGTTACATTATCCAAGATCCACCTTCTTTGATCCCAGGACCCGAGAACGAAACGCATGCGGTAAAAGTCCTCGACAAGCATTGTAGGTGTTATTTTCTTATCGGCTTCGGTTTTCCACCTTGGTGTAGGCATATTCGTACGACCAATACACGTCGATCTTGTAACCTGGTCGGGCGTTGATGTTGGTGTCATGTTGCTCTGAGACCAGGTTTGAGCTACAAAGTATGACAGAGCCTGTAGGATCTTGTAGTTGTAATCCTTGTAGGTTGCTTCGATCCCAACGAACCGTTAAGAGAGCTTCTGAAATAGGGGTCATATGGCAATCGTACAAATGTGGAATCCTTCCAATACATTAAATGAGGGACCATTAACTAAGAGGCCATTTTTGGGAGCCTCCAAGGCGGCCTATGCAAGTAAGGTGGGCTCTTGCCAATCTGTATAGCCTGCATTTTTTGGACTTTGCTATTTGCACCATGTCAATTTCAGCGGGGATAGCTATATCAAAAGTAGCAAGGTGGCGTGTATGAGTAGTGATTCATCAAGCAACATTATCAGGCTTTACCTCATTACAAGAATACAATATCGCAATACAATAACAATGACATCGTAAGCAATCAAAGAAGTATGTATGACGGAGGAAAAGAGACGTGTGGGAGTATGATGGGCGGCGACAACATCCTTTTATTGTGCATTGTGGGGCGTGGGTGTTTCTGCTTGTTTGGGATGATGCATGAGCTGATAAAGTGATCGGGCGCATATACCAGGATTAACTCTGAGGAGCCTAGTGCAATGTTGTCTATGCATAATACATCGGCCAAATAAGAGCAGGTGATAAGAAAGCTATCAATGAAACCAATCACTTGTACGCCTAATGCACAACCCCAGTTATTACAAAGGATTGTTGTCGACCTACTCTTTTCAATATTGGTATGCGTGTTTCGGGTCTCCTTTGATATCAGCAATCAAGCCTAACCTTGCATTGCGCAATCGCGGTTTGAATAAAGGATGGTGCGAGAGACATGATGAGCACCCATTTTTCCCCAAGTCGACCCAGCGTACGCCTTTGCTGCTTTTCTTTTTATTCCTCATTGCCACCCTTGACACTAGCTCCACCTCCATCTACTCAATCCAGTTCGTTCAATCGTTACATCTACCACCATGTGAGTTACCAATCGACTATCTCCCGCCAAGAGTTTATTAGATCTATATACACAGCTCTTCCAAGCTCGACATGTACTCCATTGCCAACCTGAATGCGACAAGTTCAAGTGTGTAAAAGCGTATGTCCCAACAGCGTGTACACTGCCGATGGATTACTTTATTCGAGAAAAACGCGCTATAGCAAGCAACTTTATATGAAGGTATTCAATGGGCAGGTTTTCTTCTGTATGTGTACGCGTAACCACTCATCTCTTTCTCTTGCAGCCTTGATACGCGGTTGACAGGTGAATCAGGAGCATACGTGGATAAGGTTCACCATGGGTTTGATAAGGAACAGGTATGACAGCAGGGTCAGGTTGTTTATTACTGCAGCACATTTGGATTATGGGCGTATACCACACAAGATGGATTCATTCGAAGGTGTAGTAGATATGCAGGATTAGGATAATGGTAGTGGATAGTACATGATAAATAAACCGCCTATTTTCGAGAACATGGCAAATGCAAGGTTGTTGGGGTGATATAGGAAAAGTGCATAAAGTACTCAACCTTTACCTGACGCAAAGTAAAACACTCTCGGCAAAGCTGATATTCATCACCCAACGCAAAATGGAAACTGTGTTACGCAAAGATGTAAAAAACCAAGCGCGAAGATTTGAGAAAAATCCAATCCATGTCAGTTGACAGAGCCAAACCACACATTACACGCATGCTCATCCAAATGGGGTAAGTGCAAATAAAGGCAACTCCTCCTGGTCACGAATCGCATGCAAGCTCCCGCACGCTCCCATGCCACAATTCCTGCGTCCCTGTCAACCTTGTTTATTACTTTTATCCATTTTCATGCATCACTATTCATATCATCATCATCGTCATCGTCATCATACTCAAAATAATACCTCAGTGGTTATCGATATCTATATCGGTAGAGTAACGTCCAATACGTGTCATGGCGGAAGTCTAGCCTTGTTTCAGAAAACGACGCGATCGACATTTAAAAAAGCTGGTGTTACTGGTGGTGGCTGTTGCGGAATTGATCCGAATTGTTGGGTTGCGCCGAAATATGGTTTCCGGGCAACACAATGACATCAAGCTGACCTTTTTAATTCAAAGTATGATGGCAACAGAAATACATGGAAATCTTGTCATCATAAACAGTAACAAGGGGGTTGATGATAATGATGATGAAGGGGAATTGGGGGGAAAGGGAGAATTGGTGGGAAGGCAACCACGCAGCAGCAACAAAAGAATGATACCACAGAGTGTGAGTGGGTGAGTGACAGCATGATTGCATCACTTTTTGTGCTGACGGCATGCATGCACTCTTTATGCACCATCACAAATAGATGTCATAGTAATGAGAAAAAGGGCAGGATCCGATTATGAAAATAGGGGGAGAGGAATGATGATGAGCTTAAGGAATGCAGCAGAGCAGCATTATAAATCAACGAATTGACCCAAGCGTGCGAAAACAGTAATGGTGCTGCTAGGATGATGGGTGGTTCCATAGAATCACACGGAAACAACCAATTACACAAACAAAGGATAAAGGGCCATTCATGATGCCAAAGCAACGAGATCGATGAGAACATTATCATCATCATCCCCCAATGAGAAACAGTCCCCCTGACTGACATCAGGGAAAGCATGTCATCATCTCACAGTGTCAATGCCTCGTCCAAATTTGGGCACATGACATCATTTACATCTCCCTCCGCTCCCCAAAATGTATATAAAGAGCACCTTTTTTTTGGGTTTCCTTTGTTCCACGCCACACACACTTTACTTTTTTACACACTGCTTGTTGACAAGACTTTTTTACACATACACAAACACGTCACCATGACCTCTTCACGACAATGCATGTCTATTGATGCCATCATCTGCAACCCTCCTCACCATCATCATCATCAGTCAGCTGCACCAGCCGACGTTGCCATGACCACCACAGAGGCACCACCTTCACCTCCAGAATCCACTTTCAGCATGCCTACATCACCCCCACCATCACCTTTGATGAACAATGCATCCAAACGATCATCCACATCATCATCATCGGGTACCACTGCTGAACGTCGTTATCGAAACAAAATCGCATCCGCCAAGTATCGTGCTAAAAAACAAGAAAACATGCGCTCGATGGCAAATAAATTGGCCCAAGTGACAGCTGAAAATGCATCCCTGCAGCATCAACTGAGTCAAGCACTCGAAGACAATGAAGCCCTGCGGAGACTTTGTAAATCAATGATGACTTCCTCCCATCAACAGCAGCAGCAACAACAGCCAGCAGCATAAAAAAGTTGCGTGCCCCATCTCATCATCATCATCATCATCAATTCTACACCTCCTCCTCAACTTGCTTTTCTTTTTTTCCTTCCCCCTTTATGCACATTAGCTTACCATTTGCCCTGTTTATGTTGTCTCTCTCATGATTTTTGTATATAACCTCTCTCATTTGCATACCCCCATTTGCGTCTTCGTTTATGATAACGTTTCATAAAGCAGCTAGCATATTTCAAAAGAGTCATTATTTGTCCATGCCGAGAAGTTTGTGTAACATCTGAGCAATAATCATGACGAAACGTATCACCATGCCATTGCGAATGGTATGTACCCAAAAATATGTCTTTGTGTAACACGATCGTCAATGATGCTGCTGTTGGCGTCATGGATCGCGTAACGCCGTCATGGGAAAAAAGGGTAACCCAGGACACACATCATCATCATCATCATCATCAGCTGCATAATGATATGGATGCATGGTTGTGGTGATGGGGGGATTGCAGATCATGATGACATTGCCATGATGGATCTACTATGATGTGATGATGATGACGATGATCTCGGCTGCTGCTGCTCCGTCGTAAGTAGTTAGTAGTAACATGGTTACGACTTTGGATCTAAACTCTGATGGGAAATAAACAAACTCTTTAAAGTTCACCGAGTTTTAGGTACATACATTGGATGAAAAGTGAGCTAATGATATAACGGGTAGAGAAACCTCTGGAAATATCTAAAGTATCGTTTGGTTTACAACTACTGCAGCATGCATTTATTATGATAGGTTGATTATGCATGATAGGGGAGACTAAACTAATAGCAGCAAGTGTATGTATGACATGGACGTTGCAATCATTCGTCGGATGATGGGTCATAAGGATTGTCAAAAAAGTGTCATCAAGTGAGCCATGTATCATCATCATGCAGTGGTAATAGCTGGGCGGAGCTTATGGATGAATCAGCATGTTGTTGTCCTCTTCTTTCTTTACGACGACGACGGTTGCGAGGGCGACGAAGGATATGGATACTTCAATGTCCATGGAATAGGGTGTGTTTGTTGTATACTAAAGAGCCACATTGAAAGGTCCATCACCATTGATCATGCCGCAGTAGCAGTGCCATCTCAATTACCATACAAGTTAAGCGTTTATCTCTATGCTCGTCGTTTGACTCTCAGCACGACATCCCGCTTTTTCTTTTTGCCTCCCATGGGAAAGAAGCCAATCGTCACCAAGAGCCACATTATGAAGTTGGCCTCTCAAGAGGCAATGGCCGATCGAGAAACAGGAGCATCGAGGCGTAACAGCTGGATAGAGAACGAACCGACGCTCACTGAAGATTCAGCCAACGTATTCGACGAGTTGTGCAATGCTACCAAAGAAGGTATGATTCCAAATGGCTTTTGCTCATGTTCACGCGCTCACTCGTGTTATGTATATAGGCGATTTGGAAAAAACGGAAAGTCTCGTGCGTAACTTTGGTGCTCCTATCAATATGGTTGATAACTTTCAATGCAATCCACTTTATTATGCTTGTAAGGATGATATTGATTGGGGATGATGATGGTGAATAGGCTCTGATACTTGTTCTCTAGGTCTATGTGGTCACTATGAGGTCAGCATAGGAAAAGGTGAATGATGGTGATGATGATGATGATGATACTAATTGTAGCTTTTATGTCCAGGTTGTCAAATTTCTGCTGGAGAATGGCGGTAAGACTGGAATTCAAGAGCCCGCACTATGTGCAGCATATGCTAATCGGCATACAACACAGCTCAATGCGATCCAAACACCTTTACAGGGTAAGCAGGCATACATGCTATAAAGTGTGCTGTGGATAGCTAAATGTGATGATGGTGTTGCATAGCGAACGGTGTCTTTATGGTGCATTGAATGATAAGGTGCGTTTGTGTAAAAGATGAAAGTGATGGATGTACGTATTTAACGATTGGGGCAATATAGATTCGACGACTCTTGCGATCGTACAAGTTTTCCAAAGCAATCAATGAGAATCAGGCAAGTACTTATATACCGTTTCATGGGCGATTGCTTATCCATTGTATGAACGCTGTAGCCTTATCTTCAATTCTTGACGGATTTACACGATGATCATCCTTATCACGACCTCACCTTTGTTATATCCGACATCTTCGACGACACCGAATTCCCTGTACAACGATTTGTGATGGCTGCTCGATCCAAGTACTTTCGTGAACAGCTATTGGGTCGATGGTGGAATCAATCCACGGTGAAACTTTCATCCAAATTGGTCAATGCGACGGCATTTGCTTCAGTACTACAATATCTATATACCGGTCAGCTTGTCGATATCAATACCGATGTGTTGGAGAACATGATTTTTGTCAGCAAACATTTGCATATGCCGGATTTGCAGGCACGATGTGAGGAGTTACTACAAGAGGGGAAGACATCCAAGAATGCTTTGCGTGCACAGGATGCCAAAGAAATGGCCAAGATTCGAAACGACTATGAAGCCTTTTTGGAGACATTGTTTGCGTTTGCCGCCCATGTCAACAAGAGCGACAAGGATAGCCATCTTTATACGGTGACTCAATCATGGCTCGAGCAACCTGATGATGAAGAAAAGATAAACGACACACCATCACCACCACCAGAGGCAACCTTTGCGGATGTCGGCATTTTGATTGACAACATCGTATTCCCATGCCACAAGGCCTTTTTATGCCGCACACAGTTTTTCGATATTATGTTGGAAGGCACCTTTTCAGAAGCCGATGTCCAAACCTCATGCATTCGTTACAGCGAAGGACGCGAGTTACATTTACCCTTGGTTGAGCTTCATGAAGTATCGGCCGAAGCGTTTGGCTATGTCATGGAATACTTGTATACGGATCGATGCACCATTCCAGTGGAGGAGGCTTACGACGTATTGCTCGCAGCTGATATGCTTATGCTTGATCGTCTCAAATCCATTGCAGCTATCGCATTGACTACGCCCGATGAGCCTATACTTGATATTTACGACTTGACGCGTACGGCAGTGAGTCTCAATGTCGATCGACTTGAACAATGGTGCATTCGTTACTTTGCCGATCATCTGGATGATTACATCAAGGAAAAACGATTTCACGACCTTATTCGTGAGAGTGCTCAATCCATTGCAGGACGTGAGGAAACAGGTAAACATCTTTATTGATGGCTTAAGGAAGCTATTCGTATACTCAAGATGATGCAATGTAGATTCGATTCCTCTTATTGATGATCTACGGTACTTTTTGGGCAAGAAGTATTGCATTTTCGAAGAAGACATGAATCCAGAAGGACGTGTTTCTGAGGAATACAAGGATACATGGACTGAATTGGAGACGCTGTACAATGAAAAGTTAGAGATGCTAGATAATATCCTCGAATCGCTTGGATTAGAAGCTTAGATTAGTAGTACCACCATTTGCTTAATATACGTGGTTGAAAGAAGGGATGGCAAAAAGCAGGATGCGATGGATGGATTTGAATGAGATTAACCTGGTGAGTGAGATTAACCTGGTGAGTGAGATTAACCTATTGAATGAGATTAACCTGATGAGTGAGATTAACCTGGTGAGTGAGATTAACCTGGTGAGTGAGATTAACCTGGTGCGGGAGATTAACCTATTGAATGAGATTAACCTGGTGAGTGAGATTAACCTGGCAAGTGAGATTAACCTGGTGCGTGAGATTAACCTGGTGAGTGAGATTAACCTATTGAATGAGATTAACCTGGTGAGTGAGATTAACCTGTTGAATGAGATTAACCTGGTGCGTGAGATTAACCTGGTGAGTGAGATTAACCTGGTGAGTGAGATTAACCTGGTGGGTGAGATTAACCTGTTGAATGAGATTTTCACTCCCGACGTGTCCACAAACAATGCCCAGATCGGGATCGGATCGGGTTAAAACGAGGGGAGGAGATGAAAAAGTGCTCAGATTCCGAGGGTGTGCGTGTGTCATGCGCATGTAAGAAAGGGATCAATTCCGACAAAGATATAGATGTATACGTGTAAAAGTTTTCACTTGTGAAAGAGAATGAAAGAACATGAAAAGTAAATTAAAAAGCATGGAACGAATGATGTTGTTTATCCAATGACGATGATGTAGTGGTGGTAGTAGTAGCTTGGGGTCATGCATCATCATCCCACGGTCCGTATACTAGTGCTTGCACTAGTGTTATATGTAAACAAGCAACTTGATACAAAAGGTAAAGTGTCAAGCGATTGTGCATCCCCGATGTGCAAGTCACCATGGAGAATGTGGTGGTATATCTATAATGCGTGCATTATAGTGAGTTTGTCGTCGTTGCCAGCTTACTTGAAGAAACAAATTTCCTGCTGCCATACGCAACTCTTTCGCTCCTCCTTCACACACACACTCACTCACTTACATACGCTACACGTTTAATCCCCCCTTCTTTCTCTGGAGCAATGGCCGACTTTGACGTAATTCCCCGGGACCATCTCATGTTCAACCATGCTGTGCCTCTTCATGTGGCCACCAACCACGTCCTTCTCATCACCGATTGTCTACAACTTCCTGTCGAATTGCAAGACGGTGTTTCAAAGATCATGAAATATGCTCCGCATAAGAACTTTGTTGACGAAGGTGCTATGCAAGATAATGGGGCTGAATACCGTTGGCACTTGAGGTAGGACAAAAAAAGGCATTATAGGAGGACGACTTGAATTGATGCATCATGTTCTATTACACACAGCTTCGGATACGATCAAGAATTGCGTCCTGGACAATTGGTGGTGACGAGCAATTACTCGAGTTACAAGGATATTGCTACTGGAGATCGCTTTGAGGTCTATGTGCGGTATCATCGCAAATTGGAAGGTGAGATGGTATAGTCTAATGATCACTTTTACAAGGGATAACCAACATCTCAGCTGTGTGTAGCATTTCGTGCCATTGGACGGTTGCTAGGTGCTGCAAGGGATCTGCTGGTACTCACAGATGATCATGGTCCATTGGTCAACTTTTCAGAGCAGGCACAATTCGATACACAGGGGTAAAGAGAAGCTATGAGAAATGGAACGTAAACGATGGCAGCTGACAAAAGGATCATAGTGTCATGGTGGATTGCAGTAGAAACGGTGTGCTACGTCTTGAGAGTGTCAACACGTTATTATGCAATATGGCTCTCATGGGATTATCCATGCTTCAACTATATACCGAGGATACATATGAAGTAAGTGATTTGTCGATTACAATGTCAAATGATTTACTCACATTTCCATTTCTTGTCAGGTGGAAGGAGAACCATTGTTTGGTTACTTGCGAGGTAAGCATGGTGGATGGAGTTGCATCATTGGGCACTTGCTAATGATTGCGTATTGTTCATAGGCCGCTACAGCCAACGAGAACTAGCGACCATAGATGATTTTGCCTTTGATTTGTAAGTCATCACCAAGAAGCAAACAAGCAACATGATATCTTACCATTGCATATAGGGGCATCGAAGTCATACCATGCATTCAGACATTGGGTCACTTGGGTCAAATCTTGCAATGGCCGCATTACGCTCATCTCCGCGACAACACCGAAGTGCTTTTAGCTGAAGCAGAGACCACCTATGAATTCATTGAGAAGTTGATCAAGGCTGCAGCTGGACCATTCCGCTCAAAGAGAATCCATCTCGGTATGGATGAGGTAGGTATTTCTTTCCATATTTGAGAGGTTGTTACCATGGTACTCATGGCAATATGATACAGGCACATGGTCTTGGAGATGGACGTTATCGTCAAATCTTTGGTTACAAGGAACCCACGCGCATCTTTGTGGAGCATTTACAACGGGTGAATGAGATCTGCACACGATTGGGCTTGCAGCCGATGATATGGTCAGATAGTAAGTATATACCACCATCCCATGACTGGACCCATTGTCTAATCACATTACCCCTTTTTTTCATGCACCAGTGCTTTTTTGCTTAGGTAAGATGTGATTCGATAATGGTAATAGGCCGGGTACTCATCGATCCTTTTGTTATATGTACATAGCTGCAAAGAACAATACTTTACAAGGCTACTATGATGAAAACAACAATCCAGCGGAAGCCCCCGAGCTCGTGGAAAGCATGCCACCCAATATGGAATTGGTGTTTTGGGATTATTATCACACAAGCCCTGATATCTATGCACAAAAGTTGCAGCAGCATCGAGAGTTAGGATGTCAACAACCTTGGATCGCATGTAAGTCGTTGTCGTAGAAAATCGGAGCACTTCACATGTGTTTTTGCTGATATCACCTGGAAATGGAAACAGCTGGCGCATGGACATGGAGCCGATTCTGGACAGGACTTCCATTTACATTTGAATCGGTGCGTGCGAGCACAATAGCGGCCAAACACAAGGACAATGGCGTACGTAACGTCTTCATAACCATTTGGGGTGACGAAGGCAACGAGTGTGACATGTGAGTTTGAACATCGATATGCCAAGACAATAGTAACCATGATATCATGTACATAGCTTTTCATCTTTCCCAGCCCTTTGCTATTATGCAGAACATGGTTACACTGATCAAGATGAAGTCAACATCCCTCTCTTAAAGCGCAACTTTGGTATGTAACAAGTGGGGGATATACAATCGGCAGTGTAGTTAACAAATGACTATAGAAGGTATTTGTGGAGCGAGTTTCGATGACTGGGTGTTTGCCTCCAAGGTAATATACGATGGTGGTACATGTTCATTGTTTGATTTAGCACCCTAAGCTAACCGGAGTCTGATACAGATTGATGATACGCCTTCCGGCAATCCGATCACGATTCGTACACACTATGTTCCTAATATAAGCAAATGGTTATTGTGGGAAGGTGAGTAGTAGTATAACAAACCAGTCATAGGAATTGAAAAACGGGGGAATGTGTGCAACGTGAAGCGTTATTGCTCACATGTCATTTTATATAATTTAGACCCTTTCCTGAGTTTTCTTTCTCCACAATACGTCGACGAGGATCTGGAAACACATTATGGCGCGATCGCAGCTCACCTATTTGATGCCATCGAGGATAAGCGTGACACCCATCCATTCAATTCACGATTGGAACTTCCAGCAAGGTTGGCTATGGTGTTATCGCTAAAGTGTCATTTACGTCAACGGCTTGTGGAGGCATATCGCAATCGAGACTATGAAAGATTGTACGACCTTGCTCAGGGTAGGTTGACACGGCTGCGGGAGGAAGTGGATCGGTTGTGGCGATGCCATCGTAGCCTGTGGATGAAAATGAACAAGCCATTTGGTTGGGAAACCTTGGAGTTGCGTTATGGAGGATTGCGTGCAAGGTTGGAGACCATGTACGACCATATCATTGCTCATGTGCAGTGTATGTTGGTGCGAAAGGAACAACAGCAACAACAACATCAAAACATGGGAGGAGAGGAGAACAACAATGGAAACGGTCAAGAAAGACGTCGTTCGTCCTCAGTGGCCGAAGAGTTGCTGGATGAGGAAAATGTTCATTGGCGAATTCCAGAGTTTGATGCGGATTTAGAGTGCTTGTTTTATGGTTCACGTACCAACTTGTTGCTGGATTATGCTAGAGTAGCTACACCTTCACGCCCTGGTTAAATGAGTTTCCATAAAAGCCGGTAGATTTGAAAGTTAGACTACAAAAAAGAATAAGCTTTTTCTTTCCCTTGACATATGTATCGCATGTTTGATCCTTTACTGCACGTGGCTGTTGTCGAAAACCTTGTGTGCGTTGAAAAAATGGTGCCACAGTCTGCACCCTGTGCTCTTTTTCTCAAGGGTAGCGTACACTTTTTCCCCCAGCACAAAACTAGATATGCCATAATTGGCTCTTGCCGTACACGACAAGCTGTTATCGAAAGCGGCATCGATTACTCCATTAGTGCAAAGTACATTACCATGGTGTTGGATTCATATCGATAAGCACTTGTCAACCCGGGAGCTTTTGTGTTGCCTACCACGCGTTTGACGTGCCTTATATAAAGCAGTTCAGCTTGGGAACATGTCATGATTGATATCATATTTTTTTCTCTCTTCGCTTTTTTCACAATGTATTCCTTTCCTCGTCGTAACCAAGTCTTTGGTAAAAGATGTCAGATTTGTGGCTCCGGGGTTCATCAGACACGGGTAAGCAAACAACTTTTTATGGGCGATCACCACTGGCAATGTATAGTAATACATCTCTTTTGATACATAGAATTGCCCTGTGTCGCCATGATAAAGGCATACATGAACATCAAATAGCACTTTCAATATACCAAGACCAAACGATACTGCATATAGTACATCCATATATAAGCATCCCACATATAAGCATAAGCAGATTCCCCGGCAAGACCGGCCCTGTAGATCCCGATTCCCCCTTTATGTATATCATGAGACATGTTTTTAACTACCAGACAAGATTAAGTTGCCCTATTAGCTGCCGTGCACTACCCCCGATATACCTACTACTACAAATCACACATACCATTATGATAGATAAAAGACAAAACATTGCACATTTGTATTTTGGTTGCATAGTATACGCCATGATGATGGTTATACAAGCACCTTCTTTTTCCACGCATTCCCAATTAAACACAAAAGACCTGTCCAACCATTAGCAGAAACGTCGTCATCGTTCTTGTCCCCCGCTCCTTCTCCCTCCACAGCAAAATTGCTCAATTTGGATATTAGTGTAAGACGTACGACGATTGTGATGACCATATTATCTTCCACTGGTTACCTATGCACATGTGAAAAAGAACAATGTAGGCTTTCCATAGTATCATTATAAGCTGTTGTGATCATGACCCGCCCGCCTATCCTTATTAAGCAACGGGAATTTGGTATTGTTGAAATATGTAAATGCAGCAATACATTACCGCCGATACTAACTTGACCGGGAATGGAGAGATTCGGATAACAGGCAAGTTTGCACAAAGAGGATCAAGTCCCAGTAAAAGGCCACGTGGAAAAAAGAGCATCGCGGCTGGTCCCGCTATTGTGCATGCATGGTGATCGAAAGGGCGGGTCATGTAAATGTTTGATGACAAAGCGTGGTTTGCCCCATTGTTTGTGTTCCACAGCCTTTTCTGTCGCTTGTTGTTATCATTTTTGCTATCGTCCTTGTGGTTGCTATGGTAACTCGCATTGGCCTTGATGGATCATTGATGCCCAAATACAGTAGCAAAAGACGCTCGTTGAGCTCATAGCCCGAAAGCATAGCTGCTTTGGATTGTACGCATATGCACATGTGTATGTGTGCGTGTGCGTGTGTGCGTTCTCATCCGCGTAACCTTGCACAGACATGATAGTATAAGCGCGTTGTTTTTCTTCCAATGGTCTTGAATGAATTCCGTATCAAGCAATTCATTTACATCCGCGGCTGTAGTTGTGCAACGAGCTTCTTGAGTAAATCGAGAATACGATGTTATTTCCTTTGGGCGAAAATCTCCTCAACCCTGACAGGTATTCAGCGTACCCCTTGCATATGAGGAGTCCTGAGTATATGGATTAGCGAGTTTGATGCAACTTTTAAGCACATCTTGATGCTTCAGTGTGGCTGGTTGACGATCATGATGAGTATGGGTCCCCAAAGTTACGCTAGGGATTTAGCCTAAGCATGATTGTCATCTATTAAAGAACCACCTTACATGATAAATAGGTGCACATCATACCACTTGCTGTCGTATTGTTCCACATGCGCCATCCAGAACCTACCTCATTATGACATAACAGTGTTACTGCAACAACGGAGTATAGGTCTCTCATGCAAAACGGTAGCTTTGACAGCATTAGGAGATGGCTTATGTCTTTTTCTTCCATTTTAATGATAGCATACGATGCTATGCATGGTAACAATGGTCGCTTGAACAAAACTAAATGGTAGTTCTTACCATAAATGATGCTTTGGATCATGTTGGTTCAAGCTTTCCTAGATCTCATTGCCACTCACATTTTTCCCTCCCTGTCTTATGTCTTAAACCAAACGCAGATAACGCAAAATGGATGATTGCCTTTTTCTTTTAGGATGTTTAGGTAACGCATTGTGCGATGGTGCAGCAGGTATACTTGTGTCATTGTCAGTGTCATTGTTCTCCCTCTCCTTTTTACACACCTCTCGTCTTTGTTGTACTCCTATTGTGCAGGTTTGCACCGGGTGATCTCTTTGTGTTTGGATACCAGCATAAACAAAATGAGGATTAAGACGCCATAGCTCACCCAGTAATATGGATTGCATTTCCTTGTATATGTGTGCAAATGGTGTTTGTAAATCAGATGATGCGTTACACGGCTACCGATCCCTATTTTTTTGTTCTTATTCTTCGTTACACAGAGATGGCACCTTGTGCATTGGTCATTGTATCGACATCTAACCTATCCATTAATGATTGTTTATGTAGGTGTGGAGGACCATGGCCAACAAAACATCATTTGGCACTCTTAAATGAGAAAGATATGGAGCTTGTGGGCATCACCATCATCCTTGCCATCGTCACATCAAAGCAACAGTAGCTCTGGTGCAGTAGTGATAATAGCGGTGTGTCATAAAAAGGCGTATCCATGTCACGCCATCGACGGGGGGCCGTACTTGGTTGCATGGCAACGCTGAGAAAATTCAAATCCCTTTTCAATGTCCAACCCAACCTTGCTTCTTAATACGTGTCAGGAGATATACATCATCGGAAGAAAGTATGCAATGGAAAGCAAATGGATCGTCTCATCTTGTGACATTGATTATAGTAGTATAAAGCTATGTGAAACCTCTATAGCATTTTGCCGTTCAAGCGAGAGGGAAGCGATGGATTTAGTTAGAATATGGATTAATCTTTTCACACGCCAGGTTGCTGGTGAAGATGGTGCCCGGTAAAAGGTGGCTGTCAAAATTGAGTCACTGCCTCGACCTATCGGATCAAGTCATATTAGGAGATGGCAATAATTGATTATGGAGTTGCTGCTCAATGACAAGAATGCTTTGGGTCATGCCTTCAATTGTGAGAAAAATAGCATCTTTAGAGCCAGTATATGGCACTTGCGGGATTATAGGTAAGATCTTCTCATTGCTATTTCCATCCTGTACATAATAAGAGATGTGGCTGTGGAAGTAGTGGTAATCACTGCAAGTTGAAACAACATTATTAATATGGGTTGGGCGGATCCCATGCTTTAATAAGAGGCTATGCGTGAACTCTGTAATACAGAAAGGGGTTGGCTATCAATAACGCGTTTCATTGCATCACAAACAAGCATGCTGTTGAATGGCTAATATCAATGATGCGTATGGATGGGAAACAAGAAGCTGTATACTAGTAGTAGTATTGCACTAAAAGCCAGGTAATAGCATGTAAAGAGAAAGGATAATAACAATGAAAATGAAAGAGATCAGGGGTAGGGAACGGGTTGATCTGCGCATGTGGGTGATCATTTGCACCATCCAATAACAGGATTGCTAATACCACTACCTGCGTTTTGAATTTGAAATCCCAAAAGATAGGGAGGACGTCATCCAGTTTTCACGATTCCAATAAGTATTCATTTCGATCTCTCAATACAACCTCTCAACTCGAGCTGGTTGATAAGTGCAGCTCTCTCTGCTGTGGAATGCCACGCGTAAGAAACAAGAGCCCATCACTTCAAAGTGCTTCATTTATGTTGTTTACAGTGTGCAAGGTGTTTACAAAAAGATAATAACGAATGATCCATACAAGGGGATAGTTGATTGAGCATGATAAAAGGATTGTAATGAAACGAATGCTACATTTGTTGGTCGCCTGAGAGTACGTCACGCTCCACACGTGATTTGCCTTTTTCCCTCCTTGGTGTAAGAAAGTGTTAGGACTTGGACTGCGTTCAGGTGTACCTTGCCTTCCTTTGCATTGTATAGAGTGATGTCAATACAATCTTGCTGTCAATGTTTGTGTGATGAATTGATTACCTCGACAGTCTCTTTGAATGCTGTTCTCATCAAATCATCCATCCCTTGTCCAACAGCCACCTTGTTGGCTTTAGCTTCTTTAGACTTGATTTCGGCATTCCATTTGCTCTTTTCATGAAGAATGATTCAAATACAGCGAACGATGGACCACCAATCAAGTACAAAATGCATGATCAAGAGAGTCTTGTAACAAGATTAGGTTGATGTACAAAACAAAAATCAATCGATCGGTTCCAACCTTGAGAGCATGTGTTTGTGGTTTTGACAAGCCAGATGCGATCAAGTAGCGAGTACAGTGGTCTCTAGTGTTGTTGCAAAGCGAGAGGACGAATCGGTGTTGATCGCATGACCGATTGCCGATTTGAATTTGTGGGCGAGTTACGTTTGAGTCATCAGTGGTAGCTTTTGTCATGAGTCGAATGGGAAGTAAATAAAGTAGTGCGAGGTTTACGATATGTAACTCAGTGATGGAGTGAAGTTGAGGAGGGTGAAGAAGTATAATAAATGCATCGTGCATGAAAGCTGGAGATAACTCAGCGGAGGCGAAACACTCCTTCCCATCTACATGTACTTTTGTCACCTACGAAGGAGTCCCAAACCCTATCAGACTAGGCATCCTTTCAGTATATGAATGATAGTTATACCTACCACAAAGGCACCAATAACCACTTCAAGTGATAAAGCAATGATGTGAGCTACATAAAAGATGAATGCATCATGAGTACCCTCATTTTGGTTCTCACATAAAGACTCTCCTTGAGACTTACCAAAGGTAATTGATGATGGTATGGATACAAGTAGAAAGAAAAGGCGAATGATAGTTTCGATGCAAAGAACCTTGTTTACATGTGAGTGGGCGTGAGAGTTGTTTTCGTGATGGATCGAAGTGATAAAAACTGGTAAATCCACGTGCCGCTTCAAAGGTGATTTTGTAGGTGACAAAATTATGTCCCTTGAAGTCAAATTATGTACACTTGTGTAATCCCCGGGTGCTGTGACCACCACAATGAATCCAATATTGTCAAGGCTCCAATCTCCTCTGCAGGCAGAGATCAAGGTAATGATCGACGACGTTCATAATAAGAGGATACCACTAGTACGCATACGACACTCAAGGTTCATCACACAGTGAGCCCCATCAATTCTATCATCCTCTACTTTCTTTGCGTATCCTTCACATTTGTACATCTCAGTGTAGTATTATAGCAACACCATACAATTACCATAGAAACCTATATAAGACATGCTGTAGTTGTACGTATTCTATCGTCTACACCATATCAAGTATGTCAAGCACAACAGCAACAACAACATGCAGGATTACGACAACTTTCAAGTGACACCCGATGCTGTCAAAATGAGTTGTGTTGTATAAATGAAGGCATACACATGGGTTGCCACTGTAGAAGGAAATTGAATAAGATGCTGTTGGCCAGGCTGTAAGCAAGCAAAGAGGACAAGGAGGTAAAAGGAGTATGCTGTCTGTCAGGGGTAAGCACCATTACTGGAAATGGGCTACTGGTGTAACCCTGGAAGCTGTAAAGCATGGCTGCACGACAATCCGTCAAAAGAAAAAAAAGCCCATTGTATGTGGAGCACTTCTGTTACTCTTTCTTTCTTTCTTTCTTTTTCTCTCTTTCACGCATTCAACACACCCACCCACCCCATTCCTTGTCAGAGACACTTGACGATTGCTCATTTGCTCATTCCTGTTCCTGATCCTTGTCCTTCTCTCCCCCCCAACCCTCATTGCCAGCATTACGACGTCGGTGTCTATTCCACTCCACTTCTTTTGAGCAATCAGGCAAACGATATTAAGCAGCATGGAGCCTGTGGCCGATCCTTTACATTATCCATTGATGCAACCATCATCATTATATCACACATGTCGATCCGTCCTTGATGGCATGGCAGCCGTCCCTGGATTACTGCCTTATCTTGATAATGAAACAACAACAACGCAACAACACAATGACCCATTAAGCAAGCTATGGTCCATATGCCGGCAAGGCAGCAGTCTATGCCTTTTATTCAACACCCTTCGATCTGATACCCCCATCAAATTACAGCAAAACGATGGCACGTCTATGAAGCCAAAAGCATGCGTCTATCATTTCATCATTGCTTGCCGTGATCATTTGAAGTTACCAGAGGATCAACTCTTTACAGTGACGGATCTTTATCAAGATGATACCAATGGTTTTGTAAAGGTAAAGTAATACGATGATGATGTCATTCTTTGGCTTGTCATTGATCCTTTTCTCCCCTTTTGATGTGTCATCCCTGTTCCAGGTTGTCAATACGGTGAATCATCTTTTGGAATTGCTTGAAGATGGCGGCATGATTTTGATCCAACGCAGCAGCCCGCATCCCACCAACTACTCCGATCAACCTAAAAGTACGCGTGATAAGGTTGTGTCCGAACTATTGGAGACTGAACGCAAGTATGTACACGACCTTGAGAAGCTTCAGGTAATACAACAGGGGATGGTGGTGGTGTGTGTACGTGTGTGTGTGTGTATATGAAAGGGGATAGTATGGCATCATTTATCATCATTCCCCCCCCCCAAGGAAGAGGAGACAAGAGTGCTAATATCCATAAATCGTTAGCATTGCATGCGCCAGGCACAGACTCAGCAAGTATTATCTCCTGATACGTTACATCAGCTATTTGGCAATTTGAATGCTTTGGTGGATTTCCAACGATGGTTTCTTGTATTTGCTGAAAGCAACGCTGATCGTGCACCTGAAGAACAACGATTTGGTCAGCTCTTTATTCAACAAGAGAACGCGTTTTCTGTATATGAACCATTTTGTGCCAACTTTCAGACGGCGCAATGTCTTGTCGTTCAAGAAGCTACAAAGTTGCAGCAATTGACGGATATCACCAACCCTGCTTACGAATTACCATCACTCCTTATCAAGCCTGTGCAACGCGTGTGCAAATATCCTTTGCTCGTTCAAGAATTATTGAAAGCAACACCAGAGGAATGGGCATTCTATGAGGAAACCAAGCTGGGTTTGGAAGCTATTCAGCGTGTGGCAGCCAAGATCAATGAGACAAAGCGTCGTCAAGAGAATCAATTGCTTGCAGAGGATCTCAAACGGCGTGTTGTTGATAATCGGCATCATTGTGATATACCAGGATGCGGTCAGCTCTTGTTACATGAGCGGGTGGTGCTTCATCGCAACGAGGTGGATCATGATGTGCTGCTATACCTCTTTGAAAAGGCCCTTTTGATTTGCATGGATGAGAAGGATATCAACAAAAAGAACGCTGCCAAAGGATCCAAAAAGAAGACCAAGATGAGCAAAGATGGACCTGGGTTAGTGATCAGAGGCCAAATCAGCTTATCTCAAATTGCCCAAGCTTCGGATATCAGCCATGATGGTAAGGATGTGAATAATGAGTTAAATGGTGGGTTGATATTCATTATCATTATAGGTCAACATGCGCTCAAATTGTTTTGGTCTGAACGTGATCAACGCTCATGTTCTTTCACCATTACCAACTGTGTATTGAAATTCAGGAATGAAGAACTATTGAAGCAATGGAATGCAGCATTGGATAAGCTGATCAAAATTGACAAGAGATTATCGCGTGAAAGCCGTGCAGCTGCTGAAGCCCTTGTGAGGAAACATCAACCGGAAATGGCATCATCAACAGGGATATGGGAAGGTGCCCATCAACTTCCTGAAGAATACGGCAGCAGCAGTAGTGACATTGATTTCTCGCACATACAACGATCAACGAATTCAAGTGATGAAGATGATACAAGCTTGCAAGGACGTCTTCGTAGTCATTCACATCATGCTGTATCACAACGACAACATACGCGTACAGGCAGTAAAAGTTCAGCATCAATGCCACCCACATCCAATAGCAACGATCGAAGGCATCAATATTACACCGCAACAATGCCAGGAATGTCACTCCCACCTCTCCCACGAGATACATTAGCTGGCGAGTTTTCACCATTGTCGTATCCATCATCACCACTCACAGGCTCATTCCCATCCACGCCATCCATATCCAATCGTACATCCACTTGTAGTGCAGGCTCTGGTCAGCAAACACCACAACGTAATAGAACAGCCAACGAGTTATCGAGTCTATTGAATGGACCCGTGTTTCTGGAAAACGAAGATGAGGATGACTTTTGTCGAGCAATAACAGCACCATTCATGCAAGAAGCTCGTTATCGATCTCAGAGCAGCCCTGATATAGCATCCTTTGAACAAGAGGAACCATCCATGACGATCAATTCCCGGACGTTATATCACGTGGAACCTAAGAGTAATAGCTCCTTTGCCAATCGGCATCATGAATCACACGATGGAACCTCAAGGATGGCACCAAATGATTCAAATATGGTTGCAGCAGCAGCAGCAGCAGATGAGGACGATGAAGAAGCACACGATCGGAGACCCCTTGTGATAAAAGCCAAGCTCAATTACATGAATGATTTGTATGTGATCAAGGTACCGATTTGTGCCAGTTACAATGATCTTATGGAGAGGATTCAACGCAAGGTCCAATCCAAGCACCAATTCACACTCAAGTATCAAGACGAGGATGGTGATTTAGTGATCATGAGTTCGGATGAGGATGTACAAATCGGCTTTGAGAGTCGTGGTGCAAGTAACACAGTACAAATACATGTCATTCATTAGACGTGATGATCATCCTATGCTGTAATACCACAATAAAAAAAGAATTACTATTATCATAGAACGTCTAGAAATGGGTTTCATGGGTAGCTATCAAGAGTTTGATGCTCCTATTAGGAGCAGTGAGCAGATGATGTTATGGCGCATGTGGACTACCATGTTTATTAATGAACAAACAAGTGATTTATTATGTATGATAGCAGATTGATATCATTGTTCAATGATGGATGTTGCCACCTTGTTTATGTATCGTATACAACCTTATTATGTAAATAGCTGCAATAAGGAACATGTATCATGGAGGAGTACGTATGTGCATGGGGAACAATGGTTCCATATCACAATAGGATGCAGGGAGTCGAGCTGCATAAACCAATTCGCGTCAACCCCATCAATTCAATGCACAAGGACATCTTTATTGTATCAGCATACAAGGCCAATTATGGACCCACTTCTATTCCATCTATAGTACAATCATAATTCACCAGCAAGCAAGAAAAGGATAAGCTAGCAAAGCCCAAGCGTGTAAGAAACAATGCTTCTACCTACTTTGCAACCATCGTCTTCACATTTGCTGCCATACAAACAACCAGCAGTCCTCCGCCACTAATCTTTTGACAGCCTCCATGAGCTTCTATGGTCAACGGTGCTGCTGATCGGTGCCTCCATGTCAGTAGGATCCTTGCAACCTTGATTGTGTACTCCCATTCCTCACCTTTCTTGTTCTTGTGTCCTTGAAAACCACGTCAGCATTCTTGTTCGAGAGGTGAGGTGAGGTTGGATGCTCGTTTGCTCATCGTGCAACAGGATCGTTAACACCTGTTCCCATCAGCTTCGTTATTGGTTGCCATGGCTTCATTCACGCTGTCTCCATGGGTTACCAAGATGACCAAGATAGACATAGATCATCGAGATGCAAGCACACAATGATAGCAATAAACGTAGTATACATTGTAATAAGAACAAGTGGAGGGTTTGATTTATTAGCATACAAGAGGTTGTTATCTTCATTACAGTAAACAAGGGAAAGTGGGTGATCTATTACTACGGGACACCTTCTAATACTATTACCCCCTTCTAATACTACTATTATCATTTTCATAATTTTGGTCGGCAACCAGAACTGCTGGTATAACGCAACACTCCAGCAGACGACGCCTCATCTTTCCTCATTGCAGAAGGGGAACCGCTTCACGTCTGTTGCGCTAGCGTAACCTTACACCCTGTCAACTGCGAGGTAAAGGAACTCTCATGCCAACCTCACAAGGAGCAAGGCATATACATACTCCACTCCTGCAACAATGACCAGAACACGCTTAGCGGAT